GACTATAGACCGACCAGGGTGAGCTCTGTGATTTTACGGCTGTTGGGAGTAATTCTTGTACCCATGAATATATGCAGGATTCAATTTGTGGGTTGTGGGGTTTTATATAAAAAAATCGATGATTTATAGGGACATAGTTTCAATATTTAGAATTTTGTTTATACTACAATTTGGTACATGTGCCAAATGTGTAATTTATAAAAAAATAATAATAATAATAATAATAATAAATGTGTTGTGAATGTGCATGTTCAAATTAGGATTTAAGGTTCCATTGACTTTTGTTTATTATACAATTTTGAAATTTTATTAATTTGATTTTTTTTTTTGGTTCATGACCAAATATATATGCAATTTATATTAATATTCTCATATATTCATATTAATAATAAGTAAATGTATAATCTCTGGAAATTTTAATATGTACAATTTTAATATGTAAAAAATATTGAAATAATAAATATACTTTCGTCATAAAAAATAATAAATAATTTCAATTATCTAGGTTAATTTTATGCCCAATTATATCTAATAAAATTTTGTTTTCAAAAAAACATAAAGTATATATATTATTTAAAGTAGTGCACTTTATATATCAACACGTTGTACTTTATAAAAAATGAAGTTGGACATTATAAAACATCACGTTGCCCTTTATCACCACACTCCACAATTAACGTCAATAGCTTCCGTCAATATACCACACAACATAAATCTAGAAAACCGATCTACACAATACTTTAACAACGTGCACTTTATATATCATTATGTTGCACTTTATGAAAACGACGTCTTGCGCTTTATAAAACACCACGTCGCACTTAGCACGACTATCAGATCGCCCAATATAGATCGACACTGACCGAACACAAAATATTTCAACCGCAAAAATAATATAAAAATAATAAATAAACTAAACTCCAACCGACTCTCCATTCAACGCCGCACTCCGTCCACTATATCCAGTCATCGGTGACACACCTCCCGCCGCTTGCAAAGCGCACACACACAACATGGTGCCATCCGCGCCACCAGCACACACACACACACTAAAAGCCGACTCTCGTCCGACCAGGGTGAGCTCTGTCATTTTACCACCGCTGGGAGTAATTCTTGTGCCCATGAAAATCTGCAGGATTTAATTTGTGGTTTGTGGGGTTCTTTATTAAAAAACGATGATTTATAAGGACATATTTGCAATATTTAGAATTTTGTTTATACTACAATTTGGTACATGTGTCAAATGTGTAATTTATTTTAATAAATGTGTTGTAAATGTGCATGTTCAAATTAGGATTTAAGGTTCCATTGACTTTTGTTTATTATACAATTTGGTACTTTGCAATTTTATTAATATGAGTATTTTTTGGTTCATGACCAAATATGTAATTTATATTAACATTCTCATAAATGCATATTAATAATAAGTAAAAAGTACAATTTTTGATAATTTTAATATGTAAAAATATTAAAATAATAAATATACTTTATAATAAAAAATACTAAATATTTCAATTATCTAGGTTAATTCGATGCCCAATTATATCTAATAAATTTTTGTTTTAAAAAAACATAAAGTATATGTGATTATATAAAGTAGTGCACTTTATATATCAACACGTTGAATTTTATAAAAAATGATGTTGCACATTAGAAAACATCACCTTGCCCTTTATCGCCACACTCCACAATTAACGTCAATAGCTTCCGTCAACATACCACACAACATAAATTTAGTAAACCGATCTACACAATACTTTAACAACGTGCACTTTGTATATCATTACGTTGCACGTTATGAAAACGACGTCTTGCGCTTTATAAAATACCACGTCGCACTTTAGCACGACCATCAGATCGCCCAATATAGATCGACACCGACCGAACTCAAAATATTTCAACCAAAAAAATAATATAAAAATAATAAATAAACTTGATTAACATTAATTATAATTTTAATATAAATAACAAATTATTTCAATAATTTATGATAAATTTTTATATAGTTGAGCTATATGAAAATTAATATTATTATGATTTATATATTATCTATGTATTTGCTAGCTTATATTATAATTGTATGAATTGCACTTTAATGAATATATGATTGCACAATATTAAAAATAATCCAACTAAAATTTTCGGTTCAAAATTTTATATTTTGGTCCAATTATTATTTTTATACCTATAAAAACTCTGTTATGCACTTTATAAATTGGCACGTTGCACTTTATATAACAAACCGTTGCACATTATAAAACAACACATTGCAATCTATCACCACTACCAGATTGTACAAAAGAGATCGAAACCGACCGGACACCATTTTTTTCAACAACGAATAATATAAAAATGACAAATATAATTATTAACATATTCAAAAATAACTTTAATTTAAGTAAAAAAATATTTTGATAATTTAGAATAATTCGATTAACCGAACTGAATAAACAAATTAATTATGTACATAATCAATTCGATTTGAGACAAAAAGTTCGATTGATTCAATCTGCACAATATAGGCCATCATCGTGCACTATAATATTGGACGAACTGCACTTTAAGACTGTTAGATAGCACAGTATATTTTGGTTTATATATCATATTATTTTTTAATCAAATTAGACGTAATATGAAATATTAAATGTTAAACATGATTTAATAATACATAATATAGTATATTTCAGTTATTTTGGTTATCCCGGTAAATAATCACTTTTTTTTCTAGAGTAATTAGATTAAACGACTGATTAAACTGATTATTTCATATCGGTTCTAATTTGGTATGAAACAAATCATTGTCCAATAGTGATAGATGAATGGCACATTCATCTCTATCGGAATGCACATTAAAGACAAAAACCGTCCAATTTCAAATTTTCGGCTCGAGATTTTATATTTTAATTTAATTATTCGTCTTTTACTCTTAAATCACGACTATTTCAATTCGTGTCGTCTTAATTTTTTAAAAATAACCGAAAGAACAGGCACCATCGAACAATAGGAAAAATACTATTTTTATTAATTTAATTTTGTATGTATAGCAGGTGCACATTAGGTTGAACGAATTGCACATTAGTGACTATTAGATTGCAAATATCTAACGAAACCGCTCGGACTAATTTTTCAGTTAGAAATTTTAAATTTTGGTTCAATTGTCTTTCATTAATTATAAAAAACTTGTTTATTCCATTTCGATGTCAGTTTTTTTTTTCAAATTACATAACCGATATAATCGGACGTTCAATTTGTATTAAAAATACTATTATCAGTTTTTTTTTATATTTTTATGCAATATATTATTTATTTTCAAATATTAAATAAACAATATAAAAATATTAATTATAGTTTGATTAATTATAATTTGACCCAAGAACTAAATTGTAATATATCAAAATATCAAAAATTATAATATAATCCCTAGAATTTATCAAATTTACAAAATGAATCCGTTCATTTCAATTCTTCAATTCCCGTCTCTGCAATTCCCATCTCTTACGCAACTCTTCTCCGCCGCCGCCTACTGCCATGACCTGAGGTTCAACGCAATATCCGGCTACCGTCGTCAGGTCCGGAGGTCTGCGCAATATCCGACAAGGTTGTTTTCTGCAATTATAGCATGTAGGTTAAATAACTCGCGATAGGCCTGAATAACAGGGGCAGCGTCGGATTAGTCGGTAATTCTGGCTGATGCCGACAACGAGCTGAGACTTCTCGTGGCGAACGGCGGACGGTGAACCTGGTGGTCTGATGGAGGTCCGACAGAGGTCGATGGCTGTTTCGGGTGGCCCGACGAGGTGGAAAAAACCAATGTGTGTCGGAGGGAGTGTCGTCGTTTGAGAAATACAGCGGGATGGTACGAGAGGGCGGCATCTGGCGGAGAAAAGTTGCAATGGGCGGTAGAGGCTGAAGTGGGCGACGGAGGGCTGCAGCGGGCAGTGGCGATCTGCGTCAGGCAGTGTATATTTGCAGTCGGAGACGATGCAAGTGGACAGATGTGAGGGATGTGTGTGTAGGTAGGTGAGAGAGAAAAGGGAATGTGGTTGTTGGTGGTGGGACCCACGCCTGATTTAAATGAGTATGTAATTATTATTTTGTCCTTATATAGTGGTTAAACGTGTATATTTGACCACGAAATATACACCTAATTACGGGATTGTCATTACTTGTTTGACTTACATATTTAAATTTGACTTGATGATAACCATTGATATGTTGGATCCAATGGTACAAATTAATTCTCATTTCTTTCACTATCTATCATTCATGTGGTTCATTTTCTATATATATTGATTTCCAAATACACTAGAATAAATTTTGAAAGGATGAGTACCAATCATTTTTTGTTTTACCTTTTTGCCTAAATATTACCATTTAAAAATAGACATAGGTATACATATAATTTTGAATTTTTTTGTTAAAAAAAATAAATTATGTTGTAAATATTACTAGTTGCAAGAACTTAATTATTTTGAAATCAACCGTCGCAAACTCTATTTCACCTTCGTAATTATTTTGCAGCCAATGGTAAGAATATCCCAATAAAAATCCAAAAGTTGATTTTCAAATCTACTTGTAATAATATCTAAAATCTTAATAATATTAACTTAATTACTTCGCAATCCATGGTCAGAATATACCATAACTCTGAATGGATACTATGAAATTTGCTAGCAATAATGTCTAGATATCTTAATAAATTTATCTTAATTAATTCGCAATTCGTGGTAAAAACATCCCAATACTCTGAATTAATAGATACTTTGAAATCTGCTACCAAAAATGTCTAATAATCTGAATAATATTACCTCGTAAGGTAACATATCCAATGAATATGAATACGTACTTCCAAAACATGCCGACAAAAATATGAAAACAATCTCAATAATAATATTGTCCAAATATAATCGCATAACGTGCATCTATAAATATGGCCGGGAAAATCAGATTTTATCATCACAAACCGCCCCAAAAAGAAAAAAATAAAAAAAAAAAAGAAAATGGGTGATCATCCTTACTGGAGACGTTATCCCCCTTGTGAGTCTGCCCTGTGCCCAGATCTTTTATGCTGCAGTTTTAATCACAAGTACAAGGTGACATGGCCTGAGCTGGTCGGTGCTGAACCGGAAAAGGCAAAGGCTATCATTGAACGTGAAAATCCCTATGTAACAGCAGTTATCCTGTACAGAGGGGCCAAAACAATCCTGGATTTCTGCTGCAATCGAGTTTGGATCCATCAGGATGCAAACAATCGGGTCGAATATGTTCCAAAAGTTGGTTGATATATGAGACTATATTATTCTGCTTATAGATATATATATTATATTTATTATTATTGGAATAATTAATCAATAAATAAATAAAGACCGTTTAATTTGGTTGTTCTTTTATTGCATAATATTATCCTTTTGCCTTTACCATTTTGCGTTTGGTTTTGCTGGCTTCTTTTCGATCCCAATAGAACAGAAGATCTATAAGCTAAAAGTTCTCTATTAATTATGTGGGTCCCCATCCCCCAAATTTATAACTCAACTATGAAATCGCGGAAATATAACCATGCATTACATAACTACAAACTAATGGGAAAAACAGAATTAATAATATTGCAATAAGAACAATAAGGTGACGATGATAAAATTCCTACAAATCTTTTTTTTTTTTTTTTTT